ACCCGGTCCGTTGACCACCGGAACTGATTGTGACCGGCTGGTGCAGGATGTGGTCAGTCTCCCTGCACAAACCACGTATCTGATAGCTCTTAGAGCTGGTCACGCCAGGACAGACAGGCGCACGAGATCGCTGGTTGGTCACTTACTTCTCAGTCTTTGTCTAGTTACGTTTAGCTTTATTAAGGGTTTTACGGCAGTTGCAACATAATAAGGTCATACAAGTGCCGAAGATTAGAGGTGCTACTTAAGAGAGTAACTAATGTAAAAAAAAAAAAAAAGAAGAAGAAGGGGAGATAAGGACGGTAGATGTTTGGTAGGAAAGAAGAAGCTAGTTTAGTTTAGTTTTAGTAAGCGTTTTACGGCACTTAAAATACAATTAGGTCATAATGTGGGGCATATACTGACAAAATAAGTTACTTCTTAGATTTTAGCCTAGTGGAAATATAGCGATATGTCAAATTTATTTGTTGAATTTTTACAATTTATTAGTATGAAATGATAAAAGACATGATAAACTTGAAGATAATGGCATTGGTTTAGAATCTACAAATTATATGACCTTTGTGTTGTTGTTTTTTGCTGATATCTCCTTTCGTGGATTGCCCGAAGTAAATCATTTTGTCCGCGCGCCTCAAATATAAGTGCCGAAGTTCAGAGGTGTTACAAGAGAGTAATACATATAAAAAAGAAGGAGGATAAATAAGGACGACAGACGTTTGATAAGGAAGGAGCAAACCACACCAGAGCAGCCGCCAACCACCCACAGTCTTTGTCTACTGGCGTCTGTGGTGTAGCGGTTGATACTTCACTGTCGCGCGCAGGAGAACCGAGTTTGATTCCTGAGTAGGGAGAAATGTGTATCAAGTATCTCTGTCTCAATTTTGGCTTGTTGTGTCAATCTCAGCCCGGGTTGGAGATAAAAAGCCAGAATCGGAAGCCAGGCTCCTAATTGATCCAATGTGTGTCGACGGGGGAGTAAAAACTCTGATATGTTTTATGTATACCCCCTTTCACCCCCAACCACAGCAATACCCCCCCCAAAAAAAAACAAAAAAAAACAACAACAACAACAACAACAACAACAACAACAAACAACAACACAGTTCTGTTGGGTTTTTTTAAAGATTGCTTTAGTAAATGTTCCACAGCTGTAAAACTCTCACTAGAACAATTAGGTCATGTAAGTGCCGAATATTTGAGGTGTGTGTTAAACATCCACGCCTGGACGTATTGAAGAGCTTTATTCAAAACTGACGAAAAAGTTCAGAAACAGATTCGAACCCAGACTGCCCACACCACGTACTCCGGCGCGTTACCAACGGAAACAAAGTGTGCAGAAGAGG